AATCTTATTCTAAATGCACTGTATAATTTTTATATTTGTAGTAAATATAGATAATCGTGATTAAAGTGGTAGAATGAAAATAATGCTATATAACCTATTACGTATAACTATTAATTTATAACAAGAAATATCTGCATATAATTTTTATCCGAATAAAAATTCATATTAACTTTGTCAAAAGCAGATGCACGTTTTCGATAATTCAAAAATAGGAAATCTGAAAGCAATCATTTTAATTGGTTCGATAATTTCAATATTTAATTTGATATAGTATTAATCTGGATTTCAATTCGCACAATTTATATTTCACGTTGGTACACATAACCTTTCGATAGATTCAGTTTATGGTTTAAATAATCGATTATATATATAATTGTCATTCGGGCAGAGGGATTGAAAGATATAGATTCCGATATACGTATATATAACATTTTGGACGCCATTTGGCGCTGCGATCGGCAATCGGACTGGACCCAAACATAACCTAACCATGCAGTACTTAACCTGAGCCTGCCTAAGCTGACTCAACGTAATCCTCGCGCACATATCTCTTTAGATTATATTTATACACAGTTCTCTGACACTGTGCCCAATCCAAGCTCTAACTATAAGCAGCTAATTTGTAAGCAACATTTCATTCACTACCAGCCAAATACAGCGTCCAATTTGTCGAAAATGTTGTTATATTATCAGGTCTTACAAATTCTAAATCCACGAATCGTCGAAGCTGAAATTTCATATTTCACACACATCGAATTTCCTTCTAATTGGCAATCACTAACGACCAAAAATACGACCAAACTCGATGACAGACGTATTTTTCTAATAAATGAATATAAAATGAAAGGTAATATCTAATCGAAATATTTAAATGAAACCAGTGAACATTCTATGTACTATGCTAAATTTGGAAATCTTTTTGGTAAAATGCAACTCTGATTGGTCACTTTTATAGGCCCAATTTTCCATTATTAGCAGAAAGAGTACGTTCTTTTTATTTTAAAAGCAGATATGTATAAATATCGACGTTTATGCCTAGTGAAATTTCAGGCCAAGAAGTTACTTACTAATAACAACCATCAAATTTCACATAGACCCAAAAACGAGTTTATTATTCTCACAACGAATATGGAATATCGATAAGAAAATTTCTTTTCCCTCGTTTTAATTTTTGATAATCGCGTTACCAAATTTCACGTTTATTTCGTGGATCTATGCATTTGTGTATTACATATTGCTAGGTGACGACACTTTTAGATAGCCTGCGGTATATCGTACTATGCAAGGTACGTTTATATTTTCCATGGAAACAAGGTGTTGGTGTTTTGCCGGGAAAATGTGGAAGAGGGATTTGCTCTCGTAGCCAGGAAAGTTTTATCCGATGAAATCACGTACGAAATCGAATTACATCGACGCACAATGAAACCGTGTATCTTGCCTGCAACTCTGCATTCTCGCGTCTCCTTCATTTTCCGCGGCAACGTCTGAATTGCATTACCAAACAGATGGCTGATGCAAGCGAAGAAGATCGACGTTTCGTGATTCACATCGTCGACTGCAGGACATTCGTATTTCAAACATTGGACGCGATACGTGAGACGCGAGAGCGTGGAAAAAACATTACAAACCGAGCTCTGAAATTCCGTATCGCATTTTTATTACCTCGTTGGAATATTAACGAATTTTGCATTTATACGCAGCATCACAATCCCATGCAGTATACTTTGAATAGGAATCACGCGAATTTTAGAGACACCGGAGTATTTTGAAGCGCTCGATAAATTTTTACGATAGACGCACACGCGCGAATATGTTCCAACGCTTATGTTTCCTACGTTTAAGTGAAATATACATATCAAAATGAATTCTTTAAAACGAGATGATGTATACAGTAAGAAGAATGATTTGGGATTATGTCAGGAAAATTAGAAAATAATTCAACGATATTTGCGATATTTACAATACGTCTATTGTAGTTACGAGCCATGGTGGCGCTAGTGTACTTAGTGGAGAATCGCCTTAACGCTTTATCGTAGCAACAAAGGATGGATTCATTTCAGTGTCATATTGAATTCTTTTATTTCTCAATTAATATTGCATTTGATTAAAATAATCTATTGCATTTGAATTTTTGTATAATTTTTGCGATCCATCTATATTACACGTCTGTAACAAATATGCTATAACTATTGTAAATATCGTTGAATTATTTTCTAGTTTTTCTGATATAATCTCAGAATTTCTCTCTTATTGGACACATGAATATACATCGTATTATTTCGAACACTTTGGTTTTGCCTGAATATTTAGTTTATTGTCAGAACAAATATTAAACGATTTTTTTTGTTTGTTTCTGTTTTCACTTTTTTTATGAAAACGTGTTCCACGGTTTTCTATGGAAGATTTAAAAACGTCGAATTATTTGACGATGACACAAAACTGTTCTCCCCATTGGCCGCCATTATCTCGCGTTACATCCCGATATATCCGATAATCTCATTAAATCGCAACAAAACAAATTGTACGAGAAATATTTACGTGGGATATTGCATATTTCGATGAATGAAAATACGGGAATACATTTCTACGGGATCGAAAAATTTGTTGACGATGGATCGTTATCTGGAAATTGCGATGGTCGTTCGATTTTGCATTCTCTCACTTCCACATTTCTTTCGGACGCATAATGAGCATAATCCCACTGGTGACATACATCCTAATATATATTCATCGATAATACAGTTTTTTCGCGAACAGTTTGATATTTTTCACAGAGGTAATTAACGTAAATTCTTAGTAATTATCATCGTGACTTCGAAATTATAATTATGAAAATTATCCACGAATTATAACCATTTAATTTATAGCTACGTGGAGTTTCTGCAAATTGCTCCAATTTATTCTATCTTTCTCTTTCTTCTTTGGTCATTTGAAATTTTATCTCAATGAACTATCGATTTATCTCTGAATAATCCCAAAATAATATTAACACAATTTTAATTCCAAATTAAATCTACGATTTTTATTTGCTACATTTTTATTCCTTCTTTATCAAAAGTAATGCAAATTTGTACAACCTACACCCTAAATTGTGAATACTAAATTCTTCCTTTAGAAGGGGTAGTTTCACATATAGCTTCACATATGTAGGCATCGCAATGATAATATAATAGTACTTAAAATTTGACAACTTGTGACCATATTAATCACCAAAGGCAGTAATTTAACAATCCAAACCCTGCTCTTACAAAAACATAAGAAATTAAAGTTTCCAGAATAAAATTAACCCTTTATACCCAAAATTACATTAATTTACATTAAAATTAATATAAACTATATTAAAATAAAATATTTTCCCATTATATCAAGTCCAAAAATCTCTACTGTCCATCTAATAAATATTCTTCGAATTACAAGCCTATTTCTCTAAATCAAAAGAACGAAAGAGAAAGTATCAGCGATTATTGAAAGGGTTAAATGTTTCGGTAAAAAAATGTCCAACTCCTTGAAGGGTGGTCGATCGTTATTTTCGACGCGGGGGATTAAAGTGTTTGCCGTTTTCAGCAAATCCCCCCTGGTAATCAAGCGGACTCGATTATCGCGCGCAGTTTATTCACTTACGCTTGCACACAGGTGCGCTGGTATTTGTTTATGGCGTGTACGGCCGTGCAATTGACACATCAAACGCATCCGTACGTCGTGTTCAGTAGGTGGAACCGTCGCCAGATATGACCGACACGTTGACATTTGCAAAATCATAGGCGATAATTAATTGTCAGTCCGTCAGGCGAAACGAAAACGCGCGAGCGGATCGTTTCGGTGGAGCGGACTCGTTCGAGAGAATTTTATGTTTGTCAAGCCGACAGGACGCGCGTCGCGAGTCGTCAGGGTGGTGAACAACGATCGTAAAGAAGTCAAAACATTTGAAACTGTCAGCGTTTCGCTTTGGCCACGGACGAAACGAGATACGATTAATTTTATATTTCGCGTAGACAGTGCGATGCTAATTGCGATTCGTACTCGACTTCCGCCTCTTCTAGCTCACAATAATTCTTATAACACCCGTGCTCTACCTTATTCTCGAACCCACGAATTTTCCAGCTCATAAATATCATTTCGAAACAATTTATTTTAATGTAATGGATTTTAAATACGATGATATTTGTGAGCGAAATTATTCATTCTCATCGGTACCATTTCCCAGCCTCGAGGTGCCACTTTTGTTTTTCCATTTCCCTGTGAATTTTCACCGATGAGAATGTTACAGCATCGAGAGCAATTATTTTATTTTCAAGAAATCTTTTTCAAGATTCCGATTTTTCTTCGCTTTTACGATGATCGATTTATGATTTTATATACGATTAGGTGGACCTACCTAATCTCGAAGAGTCATGGTCGCGTTTAGTCGACCGAGGTACGAAAGAATAATTTCTCTCGATCTCACGGCATATGGACCAAGCGTCACGACCTTTTGATATGGCAAGAATTTTTACAGCACCCCGTAGCACACACTGGACCCATCGTTCGACAGAAAAATACACGAAGAGACTCTCCACCCCCGCCCCTCTTTGCACCACGCAGAACCAACTTACTCTTGCAAGCGCTTGAATCTATGCAGACAACGTTTTACTGGCGTTCGCGCGTTCCTCGTGCTCGTTTCTCGTGCCTCTTTTTTCTCTCAGTGAGGAGAGAAGCGAAAAAAATAAGAAAAGAGGGAGAGAGAGAGAGGGAGGAAAAACTTGCGAGCAGGGTAAAGAGGGCGGAACGAACGAATAAGGGTAGAAGGAAGACGCGAACGCGAGGAAAACGTGACTCGGAGGGGTTAAAACTATCGAAGCAGTCCAGTTCTCCCTGTCAGCCACGATGAACGAACCGATCTTTTCTCATATCACAGCAGTGTCTCTTACAGCGAACAACCTAATTACAAGTTTACCTTTTTTCTGTTTTCTGTTCGCTTCTTATGTTACGGACCAACCCTGGTTTCTGGTTTCTCTGTGCAGTCCTTCAAGGTAATTCGCCGCCAGCTTTTTCTCTAGTTTTCTTCTTCCATTTCTTCTTCTTCTTCTCTATCTCTACGCTCTTTCTCTATCACTCTCTTTCATTCTCTCGATATATACATATACATGTACATATCTTTATATATTTCATTCATTACACTACAGAGTATATATTTCGCTGTACATGTGTCATATTCGCAGACATGATCAAGCAACCCTCTGTCCGCCTATCTTTTTACTCTCTTCTTTCATTTCACTGCTCTATCTTTCATACTGTCTGCCTCTCTTCATACCCTCTTCTACTCTTTCATGCGCTTCCTTCTCGCGAGTCGCAACATTTTCTCGCTCACCCTCGATCTATTCCATTTAGTGCATCCGCTTGCACACATTGACACACGTGCACACACGAGCGCGCGCGTCGCTTCCGAGGCTTCGCGATCGAGCGTGATCGATCGTCTGCGACGAAGAAATGGTTGCGTGGGAAATCAGTCTGGGGGTAATTCCTCGAATTATTTTACAACATTGGAAGGAGGATACCTGGGTATATTATTTGTCAGGCGATTGGCTAGATTTTTTAAGAAAAATTCAGAAGAACGGTGTGCAAAGGTGTTGAAAGTGTAAGTAACAATTAATTATTCGTGTTACCTATAAACTGATGATTGGCTAGACTTGATCAAGAAAAATTGATGAATATAAATTCATTTTGAGAGGGAAATACGTAAAATTGTAAATAGAAATTGATATCGTTAACAATTTTCTAAATTGGGCTGCTAATCCCAGGATTATAATTTGTTGATGAATATAAATTCATTTTGCGAGGAAGATACGTGAAAATGTAAGTAGAAATTGATATGATTAACAATTTTCTGAGTTGGGATGATAAGCCCAGGATTATAATTTGTTCATAAAAACACCATGGAAACAAGTAATGGAAGATAGAATAATATCTGTAACAATTTATTTACGAATAAGAAATGTCTCAAAAGGTATTTTCTCTTTTAGAATTCAAATATCTCATTGAAAATTATTTCACGATATTTGTCTATATCTTGAGAAAGAATTTTTGAATAGACTAAAATATAATTGCAAAGTATGACACAATGAAACTAAACAATAACATTTTCAAAATATCATTCTAACATTGGCAAAACTAATTTTCTAGCTTATATTAACTTATATTAACTCGAAACATTAATAACTACATTTTTATCTAACCTTTTTTGGGAATGAGCTAGCAATGAACTAACCAATGATTTATTTATCGAATTATTATTATAAACTAATATAAAAATATTGAAAAAATATTGTCTTTTAAAGAGCCTTGCTAATAATCTGCATTTGAGATATAATACCAAGATAATCCCAAACAAACTCAGAACAGAATCCTTTATCTCACAATGTACATCTTTCTCGTTACCCATTTACCAAATATCGTTTCACCACCTGTGTCACATTTATGTAACATGAAACATATCCCAAAACCACAGTAATTTCCATCAAACGCATCCTCTCCAATAAACCACACCAAACAAAATAATAACCACCAAATCCAGAAATAAAAGTCCATTTGCATCACTGTCGAGCTAAGTAAAAACCCAGTGAAACAATAATATTTTGTTAATTATTCACTAGCATCAGTAATATATCTATATTATGTATGCGACTTTAGATCAACGAAATATTATTATTTCGCTCACAATCGGTTCATGCTCTTCTCGTCAGTGGTACAAACGGACCTTAAATCAACCGTGCAGCAAACAGTCAACAGCCCAAAACAACCGTGGTACCCACAATCATACTCAAAAAAGGAAGAAAAGAAAGAAAAACAAATCTAATAATACAGACACGAGATATACGAGAACTTGGTCAGATTTCATACCTCCTTCCATTCAGTTAGAGATCTTCGATATATCCGAACGCGTTCGAAGAAGAACCATTTCCGCGTCAGGACGAGGAACGTCCCGCTGGAAGCGCCACAAGTGTACACACACGGCGCGCCACGGACACACGGGAATCGATACGCGTGGTGACAGTGGTTCCTTCCATCCGGCGACGTTGGCTACACTGACGTCGTCGTCGGATGGCAAACAGGAGACCCTGCAGTGAAAGGGACCAAACGCGACTAGACGTGTAGTCCGTTGGACAAACTGAAGCAAAAAAAATAAATAAAATAGTCCACGTGATCAGCGATGAAGCTCAGGAACGATTTATAGCGGCCCTCTGTCGAGAGTCCACGGAAGTAAATAGTTCCGTATGAGTGTTGCGATATCGAGTGCCAAATCGTGATGTCACGGGACTTCCGAGCACGTGACGACTAGATTCCCCCCACGCGGTCCCTAGCGGAGCGAAGTTGGAGGAGTGGGAATCCCCACTCCAGGCCCGAATCTACTCGCTACTTGGTAGAAACTCAGTGACGTCACGATTTAGAGTTATCTGTCGATATCTCGATAGTGCTATTTGTTTTTTGACGTTTAGGGATAGTTAAAGTACTGGACCTGTTTTGCTGTACTCACATGCTGATCACGTGCAGTTGCTTTATCTTCCGACTAGTTTCGTTGGACGAACTATAGATCCCCGAATCTCTGGCCCCGATCGTATCGATTTCCAGGCGCGTACCTCGAAACGCACGGCCACGCACGAGCGTGCTGCTGATTTTGCATTTCATAGCCGGTGTTTTTATGCAACCCATCACCTTCCTTTTTCGCCTTTCGCCGCGCCGCCATCGGCCTCGTTCTACACAATACACGATGTGTCGTTCCTTTTTTGCTCGCCACGCCCGCCGGAATCGCGCTTTTTTCGCCCCCTTTTTTCCGCGTCGCCAGTGCCGATGCGATTTTTCCGGCCGGTTCTTTCCTCTCTTTTTTTTTTTTTTGTTTTTCTTCATTTTATTTCTTCGTTTTTCCATTTTTCCTTTTATTTTCACTCCGCGCAACGCGTTCACCATGCAAATCGAAGCGTTCACGGTGTGTGTTCCTTTTCTCTCCTTTTTCACATCCACGGTTTTATTTTATTTCCTTCCTCTTATCGCCTTTTATTTATTCGCTTCATCGTTGAAATCCAGCCTACGCCGTCGAGTCGAGTTCCTTTTCATTTCGATTTGTTTTATCACCGGTCGAGATTAATTCTTTTTTTTTTTTTTTTTTTTTTTTAGCCGCGTGATGAAGAGGACTCTGATTCGACGAACGGGAGCTCGAGTTAAATTCAGGATCGGTCCAATTTAATTCGAATTCGTAGGTTTCATTGATGGAGGACTGAAGTATTTCGGTTTCCATTGTGGAGATCCGATTTTGGCATTTCGTCGTTCCAGTTTAATTCGGTATTTAATATATCGTCGATTTTTTAATTATTTCAATGTGTACTCTGTATGAAGAATCTGAGATTTTCCATTGAAAACAAAGAAACTTTCATTAATATATTCCCTTTTCTTTTAAAAATACCTACAACATAAGTAATTATTATTAACTTACTTCATCAAAACACTCAAATTTAAGTTTTCCAATTACCTCATAAATATTCGAGCAAGCCATATGTAAATCTTCAGAGTTGCAATAATTTAGTCTCAAAATGAATGAATAAAATACCATGAATATTTGAACTTTTTCTAATATTACAGATATGTTAATAAGTCCACGAATTAATATAAATTTTACGTGCATACCGTCAATCTAATAAACGAACGAATTTACCAGTCTTACTAAAAATCTGAGTCTCTTCATCGACCAAAAATCTTTGATTTCTCCATTTTCTGTCACATCCGAATCAGTCCCAAGTTACGTAAAAATCGCATAGAAAGAGAAGAAATAGTGAAAAAATAAAAAATCCTCGGAAGCCAACAATTTTTCCTTCCACGATGAACCGTGCGACAAATGGAAAGCTTGGAAGAAAAATCTTCCAAGTCCTGGCGGGAGCAATTCTCATGTCGTTTCCATGCATTCGTCACGGACCTCGACTTCCCGCTGTAACTTGCCGCTTCGATCGAGCATCGAAACTAGTTCGCGGGTCCGGAAGTCGGCATTCGCGGGAATTGCTCTCGGTTTGCCGCGGTCGCGCGTCATTCGTTCCGGCAAGAGTATCGCACGGCGGGCGTCCAAACGCGGAAAACCGTGGAAGCGAGTCGCGTGCACGTCCCATGCACCCCATGCACCGCTGCACACAGCCTGTGCCTGATCCCAGCCGCTCGAATCCGCTTCCTCGGCTACGTTCTCTCTTTCTTTTCGTCCCTACAAGTGTGCTCGAGTTGTGCTTGCTGTTTGAGAGACGACACCGATCGCACAGATGCGTTTCAGCCGATGGATGAAAGGTTCGTTCCATATGCCGGGTGATCCGCTGATTGGTGGACTCAAAAGCACTCAGTAGTACCGTTTACACGAAACTTTGTAACACACATGGAGACATGCGAATGTAGTCGTCAGATGGTCGTACGGGATCAACTATTGCGATGTTTGGTGGTGTTTAGACGACGGTGCTGCCTCTAACTCAGTACTGAGTTCACTGACGAGTGGATCACCCTGTATATGTCGCCAATGAAGCTTCCCGGAAATGGTTGGAGTCTATGTTTTCTGAGAAGTTCAGTGAAGTTTGATGAAGTTTGAACTTCGACTTTTGACTTTGAAAGTGGATGGAAATTGGGAAAGGAAGAGACAAGATATGCAAGGTGTAAGATAAACGAGTTTCACGATTATGTTTGGTCTATCTTGATCTTAAATCTTGGGTTGGTGCCAATTAATGTAAGAAAGTACCCCAAAATTGATATTTAAAGAAGTCTGGCTCTTTTCTAACATTAATTTCTACCAAATCGAAGATGTAGATGTATGTGCTTAGTCGTGACACTTGCTTTTCTCACACACTGTACAGATGTTTGCGAATGTTCGAGGACTTTTGCACGTCTTCTAACTTATTGGCTTACACAGTTCCATTAGAAAGTTTGCGTCATCCTCATTTCCAATTCTGTGTGCGGGTTCGTTTCAAAGACTGTAAATTTAAAATGGATGAAAGGATCGTTCGTTTGTAAC